TTTCTTTAATCAAGTGATTTTAAGCCACTCTCACGATTTTTGAATGCCTCTAGTTTGCAATATTGGACTCTGACAATTAAGTTTCCCCATGTCACACAACAAACATGCTCACTTACAGGTACCAAATCAGGTAAACTTCAACTAGAATCCTCTAAAATGTTGAAACAAAATGCATTGACTCTAAGTAGATTGAAAGTAGAGATGGACAAGACATTTTAATATAAATCTCCCTGTTCTCCAGCTCCCAGAAGATTGGAAAGTCAGATAAGCGCCTAGAACTATAGAGGCCCTGATCCCACCACAATAAATCTCCCTGAACTGTTGTTGTAATCTGGGGCTATGTCTACACTAAAAGGTTTTTGCAAAAACAGCCATTTTTGCGCAAAAATCGGTGGGGCATCCATATCTCAAGTGTGTTTTTGCACAAGAAAATTGACAGAACAGAGTGCTTTTGCCGATAGAGTTATTTCTCTCCCCATGAGGAATAACTCCTTTTTGCGTGACAGCTCTTGCGCAAAAAGACAGGTGTGGATGCTCCAGCGGCGGTTTTGCACAAGATACCCCTATCAGAAAAAGCACAAGTGCTCTGATGGCCATTCTGTAAAAGGCAATCAGAGCTTTCTTGCCCAAGAGTGTCCATGCAGTGTGGACGCTCTCTTGTGGAAAAATATTTCACTTTGCAATGCGCTTTGAGGAGTGGACACGATTTTGCGCAAGACATTTTTACGCAAGAACTCTTCCGCAAAAGGCTTCTTGAACAATGACCCTGCAGTGTATACTAAGCCTGGGAGAGGTGAGCTACAGTAGCCTTCAGTCTTCCCACTTCCTTGTCACCTAATATTTGAGTGTTCAGGGAAAAGTGGCAAGCTGGTTTATCAGCTCCAAAGGGCATTTATTGCATTCTCTCTATTGTAAAATAAACAGTCAATTAAAAGAAACAAACTTCCCCAGCAGCATATACAGGAAATAAAAATCCTTTAGCCAATCAGGAGAGAATTTCCCAGGTACAGGCACAGGGTAGGTCAGCCAAAAATGGTCTTACAGAACCCTCAAACATTGGGAATGTGCCAGAGATGGGGTTTGAGGTTGCAGGAGATGTTTGGGTCAAATCATAGTGCAGACTGCTATAGAAATAACAGGTAGTTCAGGGTGGAGGAGCTGTTCATAGGCAGCTCATCCAGAATTGCCATACAACGGCTCCCAGGGCTGCCCAAATTATGCTGGGGGCACTTCTGGCCCCTGACCAGCCTGGTAATAGGAAGGTCAAACTACCTCTGTTCCATTCCCCTTGTGCTGAGCCTCGTGGAGGTGCAGCATTCACTTCATGCTCTTTTCCCCCCTTCTCACTCACATTTCCCACCTGGTAAGAACAGGGAATGAGAAATACCACAAATGAGGGTATGTCTAAACTACATCCCTCTGACAAAAGAGGGATGTAAATTAGGCAAATTGAAACTGCAAATGAAGGGGGGATTTAAATATCCTGTGTTTCATTTGCATAATCGCATCACAGCGGTCTTTCGGAAAAGGGTATTTCGAAAGTGAAAGCACCATCTAAAAAATGAGCAGTACGGAATCTTTCAAAAAAGGGTTTTTTTTTAAAAAAAAAAGAACCACATCTAGATGGCGCTTTCACTTTCAAAATACCCTTTTTCGAAAGACCACTGTGATGCGATTATGCAAATGAAACACAGGATATTTAAATCCCCCCTTCATTTGCAGTTTCAATTTGCCTAATTTACATCCCTCTTTTGTCAGAGGGATGTAGTTTAGACATACCCTGAGAGGCATAAATGAAATTATTTGGGTTTTTTTTAAGGCTAAATTACTCATTTTAGAGGGTTCTAGTTGAAGGGTGCTGGTCAGAATGCAAAAAAAGAAGAGCAGTTGTTTTAACAAAGCAGTTTTGGCATTCTTATTTTGATTTGAAGCAAGATAGTTGATATAGGTAAAAGAGATGGTAATGTTTGAAAATAGTTTAGATGCTGCATACAGCAGTTTTTAAATAATATAATATTAATATGCTTAAACCATGATTGTACAAACATCAGTAACTTTAGTTTTTAGCTGAACTGTGAGGGAGTGCAATGAATGATCCAGATAGCTGGTCAGAAAATGTCCTGAGAAACAGTTTTGAACAGGGGAGGGACGAAGGGAGAAGATAATGCAAATTTCTATGGAAAAATCTTTCCTGCTTTTTGTTTGTTTTGTGTGTGTGTGTGTGTGTGTGTGTGTGTGTGTCTAGACTACGGAGCTTTATCAGAAAAAGGTACGCAAATTGTGCTCCGCAATTTGTGTACCTTTTTCTGATTGTTTTTTCAGAAGATGCTTTTCCGAAATTTGGTCCATCTACCATCCTCTAGTCCAGCCAAGGAAGTAATCTCACAGCTTGAAAGGGAGGTGTGTAGAGCTCCGTCAGCCACAGAAACATGGTTAAGTCACAGCCTTCAAACCTTCTGCAATTGTGTTGGCATGAAATTTGCTCGTGCTTAGGAACTCTGCTCCACAATTCATGTTAAATGGTGTTTCAAGTCCTTATGAATTTCTTTATAATCTTATAGTCTTTAAAATATTAATTGAGTTCTCCTGAAACTTCAGAAAATAAAAAATAATAACATAAATAAGTATGAAGTATACTATTCATCCAATTGTATGTTGATTCTGAAACCTAAGGATGGTGAGCTAAAATTCAACAATATTAACATTCTTACTTATGATCTTTTTTTAGAATTAACCAGCTAACAAGCTTATCTTTTAGTCCAAAATTGCCTCTGCCACTTTCCTTTATGCCAGAAGACCAAGCTGGCTCCTCTCCAGCTGTCAAATTCCCAACTTCCCTCCCAACCACAATGTAGTTTAGTTGTATCTTGTTGATACAAAAGTCTGTAACTTACTAAAAGTGTAGAAACAATATTAATTGAATTTAATTTAAAAAATAGCATGAGCCATGGAGCTACATTGGGTTTATATTTAAATTAATGCTACCCCAGAATCTCCACTGTGCCTCACAAAAGTGCTGCAGAATCCAAGAATGCTGGCAAAGAGTATCAGACCAGCTTGCCACAGAAATCTCAGCCCTGAATTCCTGCCTGCCACCACAGTTTCTTTTAATGCCTCTGCTCCTGCTTTTCTAGGCAGAAAAAAGCAGGGGTTCTGGTGATGTCTGGAGACAGTAAAGAGTGTTAGTTTGCTGAGCATATTGGGGAAGGCAAAACAACGTGCATTTGGCTGGTAGAGTAGGCCCTGGATTGTAAGCAGGCAGGGGAGGATGTTGTTCCATTCCTGAAGAGTTCACATTGTGGCTGTGGGAGTAGAGGTCACTTATCAGACACTCCCAGAACAGGGGTCTAAACCCTTACTTTCTATAACGAGATCATGAAAATATGGCCTTCTCTAGCTTTGAGTTTCACTTTCCATTGTTAAAAATCAGCTCTTTCTTCAGCTCCAAAGTGATTATTTAAAGCTCCTTCTAGCTCAGAGACACCTGCAATTCCTAAAAGAGAAGTCTGAATATTTAGAAACAATCTTACTGCAAATAGGTGAACTCCAGAAGTCAAAGTAAATGGAAGTTCTAGGCACAGAACTCAAAGCTTGCCCCTTAGTGCTGCTAGTCTTGCTCCAGTTTACCACTCTATTATTACAAATTCAACCCTCCACAGGGAAAAAAATTCACTGAGCATATGCAATTACTAAACATGCATTCAATAAAACTTCAGCCTGTTCAGAGAACTACATTTCACATTTTCTTTATACAATATCTGTTTTTCAGATATTACTACAAAGATTATCATAGTCTACTATCATACTTCCACTATAAAAATTATTACTTAGATAGTTGTATGTGTTACTGCACAACAGGAAAAATTAAAGATTTTTTTTAATTTCACACTCCAGATGTAACATCTCCTTTATACAGATGACCCTAAGCAACTATAAACATTACCATGCATCACATTCCAATGCTTTTGTTTTAATGCAGATTCTTTAATCTACAAAACATAAATAGTACCTTATCTATTTAAGGTATTTCTATGGCATCTCTCAGCTTGGTTTCTCAGAGTTACAACAAGAAATGTAACAGGACATACTTTAAATGTTCATCTCTCTGAGATGCCTGTATCTGAGCAATACAATTAAATGTACCAACAAATAAAAAGTCACAAAATGTTTTCTTCCTTCTTGAACATATTAAGCAATGAGATAAATTCAGACTTGAAAAAAATTGAGACTATTTCCATGTAAATCATTGGATCATATTCAGCAGTGATATTATGATAATTAATGTGATGCAAAGGAGAATGGAAAGATCCCATTCCTCTTACTCTCTTTTTACATCCTCCTGGAAATTATTTTTCCTCCTGCACTTTCTTCCTTTCTGTTCCAATCCCAGGGTAAGCTGCATGTATTTCACCTCCCCGCTGAATGCCAGAGCTGTGCAAGTTACACATCATCACTTGCACCTGTTTTCCCAATAACTTGCAAATAATATGCATCTTACACCATTCTTTAAGGGACCACTGACTCTGGATTGGAGTCTTCCTTGAGGATTATGATTTATGCTTGTAAAAATATAGCAAGAAATTAAAAATATATGTACTCCATAGAAGGTTATTATAATGAAAAAATAACGCCAAATACACTTGGTATTTTAAACTTCCCAAATTAAAATATTATTGGTTACCAAGAATCATATAAACAAGCTAAAAAAGAACAAACAACACTGTATGTCTCTGACAGATTTCTTTATGGTTTCCTCAGTCAAATACCTTATTAACATCAGGCAATTTCAATGAATGTGTACATTACAGAGATTCTTACTACCGCCAGAAAGTATGGCCTTTGTGTGTTCATTTCAAATGGTCATATGTTTTTCCGTAAGTATATGTAAGACATATGTGAATTGTTGACAACTTCTTAGTGAGATAGAAACTTACATTTAAAAAAAATAAGACCTTCACCACTGCAAAGGAAAAAAAGTTTTACATTAGGATATTACTTACTTTGTGTCTTTGTCCTGGGAGAATGCAACTAAAGAAACCACATTTAAAAATCAGACATTAGATATGCAAATATGTGTTCAGATCAGAGATACAAAAATTATTCAAATGATTAATTATTCATCATAAAAATGTCAATTAATAATTCTGAAGCATAATAGGCATATTTCTAATGCATCTTTATTTTACAGGCCTAAATACTGTTGAATCTGTGTGTTCAATTGCATCCTAACAAGTTTTTAAAAATTCAGTAAAGTAAACAACAAACTAAACAAAAGTGAGCAGTGAATTTTAATAATCACTAACTCAGCCAGGAAATGTACCCACAACTCATCACCAATCCCACAAGAGTAAAAAGAACAAATACAGCTCACTATGCCAAACAAGCCCTAACTATCCTCATACATGGTCTAAAAATGTATTCTCCAGCTATTATCAAAGGTATTCCAAAGTCACTGTCTCTTGTTTATTTAGCACAAGGAGCAGTCTGTATCCTACAAAAATGGGCCATGTTGAACACCATTTGTTCAGCTGCAGTCGAGAGAGAAGTATATTACATGAATAAACAAAACTAGGCTGTCTTATATATGACTTTATACATGATAAATTAATAATGATATGAGACAGATAGGTTCATCTTTTTTATGGAGGGACTCACAGGAAACCAAACACCTTGAAATGCCCACAGAGAGATAAAGCCAAGCAATCCTTTCCCTTGCCTTGGAGTTTTTCTGCATAGGAATTTGAATGTTAATTCAAGGGGATACTTGGGAAGAAACCCCTCAGCAGGTGTGAGGTCATCCTTCACTCCCCTGATAACTGGTCTTTCTTCCCTAAACCTGGAATCTATACAGCCTTAAAGACACCTGCATGAAGCTGGAACAGTCACATGGAGGCCCTGGGCTCAGCATAGCTTCCTAGCTTCCCCTTTCTCAGAGTGAGAAGTCATTCCACAATATCCCACCCCCAGGGGTGACTGCACAAAATAGTCCCCTTCCCTAAAATAAGA